GGTTAGGCTATGTGTAGTCCTATATTTGCTATATAATATCGGCTATTTTCACCTGACGTCACAATATCAATAAAAAATGCCACATTTTGTTGGGCTAAAAATATTCCTCCAGTTCTGAAGAATATATCGCTGAAAATGTTTGAACCGAAATTAGTGGCTGTCGTGGGTTTGGTTGGCGCCGGGAAGTCATTTTATCATGTTTTATCGGAAGCTTTTATCGGCACTTTTGGGTGAATTGCAAATTCTTGAGGGAAGCGCTTGTGTTAAGAGAAGTGTCGCTTATGTACCACAAGAGGCGTGGATTCAGAATAAGACACACAAAGAGAATATAGTATTCACTAATGAATTGAATGATGAATACTATGAACGAGTGCTCGAATCGTGTGCTTTAGTGCCAGACTTGGCTCAACTTCCGGACAGAGATCTCACAGAAATTGGTGAAAAGGGTATCAATTTGTCCGGCGGTCAGAAACAGAGGGTTTCAATGGCGAGGGCTGTCTATTCCAACCGAGATATCTATTTACTCGACGACTCGTTCAGGTATTCATTTTTATTTTTAACCATTTTTAACCACAATTCATTTTTGAAGAAAGTGGTTTATAAGACCTTGTTTTAATATAATTGAATTTTTATAGCGCTGTCGACACACATGTGGGCAAACATTTGTTTGAGAAAACTATTGGAAGAAAAAGTTTATTAAAAAACAAAATAAGAATTTTAGTTACAAATAGTGTCTCTATTTTGCCAAATGTGGGCCAAATTGTAGTTCTAAAAGAATGGATACGTCTCTGAATCGGGAACTTTTGAAGAGTTGATCTCAGAAAATGGTCATTTTGCCGAATTTGTGACCGAATATCTGTCCCAACAGTCGGACAATGAACTCAAAAATGTAGATAAAAAATGGTTAATAAATTAAGAGGAAGAATGAAATTTTTGGTTAAAAAAGTTATTAATCAAACAAATGTGTCGAGCGTTGAAAATGAATGGAAAAATCTAATGAAACAAATGTTAAATAATTTGAGAGAAAAACGATTAAATAATATAAAAGAAGAAAATATTATTAAAAAACAATTATTCGTTACAACGGGTGGAAAGTTAACCAAAACCGAGGGCTCAAAGACGAGTTCTGTTCGATTCAAAATATATACAAAAAATATATTCATTTAATTGGTTTGTGGTTTTACGCCGTTATTATGGGCTCATCACTCGCCTCAACAATGGTTCAGATATTATCGGGTCTTTGGCTGAGCGAGTGGTCCGACGACTCCCTTGACTCCAACCCCATAAATGACACAAATGTTCGGTACATAAGACTCGGAGTTTACGCCGGAATCGGTGTCTTTGACACTCTTTTCACTTTCATTTCGCAAACATTTATCAGTTTTGGATGTATTGGAGCCGCGAAACAATTGCATAATATTATGTTGGATAGGATTCTAAAAGCGCCAATGAATTACTATGGTAAATATGCCAATTAATTAAATATTTAGCAAAGTATTGATGAAAACATTTTCTAGACACGACACCAATCGGACGAATTCAAAATCGGTTTAGTCATGACATGGATTCAGTCAATGTTTCTCTTATTCTCAGTTTCCGTCAGACAATATCAATCATTTTGAGAGCATTTGTGACTATTTTTCTCATTACATTTCAAACGCCATTAGTATTGACTGCAATCCTTTCCCTATTTTTTGTTTATTATTTCATTCAAAAGCTATATATTCGGAGCTCTCGTCAACTTAAACGCATTGAGTCGACCACTCGTTCCCCTATTTATAGTCATTTCAGCGAAACAGTTAGCGGTTCCACAAGTATTAGAGCGTATGGAGTGTCCCATTATTTCATACAGGAATCCAATAAACGTGTCGATGAAAACCATATGTGTTATTATCCAAGCTTTACAGCCGCCCAATGGCTCGCAATCAGACTTGAATTATTAGGACATTGTATTGTATTTTTAACGGCAATATTTATTGTATATTATCGTTTCGAATTAAATCCGGGTATTGCGGGTCTGGCTATAAGTTATTCACTTAATATAACTCGATGTCTAACAAATTTAGTGAATTTTACTTCAAATCTTGAAACTAATATCGTTTCGGTTGAGAGATGTTTTGAATACACGGAAACTCCGACTGAAGTATTTAATACTCAAAATATTTACTATTTATCTTGAAATACAGTTAATTAATTCAATAATTATCTACTATTTATACAGTATATATAATCTTAAAATGCGGAGAAGTGGCTTAACTGTCAGTGACTCTCAGAAAACCATATGTGTTATTATCCAAGCTTTACAGCCGCCCAATGGCTCGCAATCAGACTTGAATTATTAGGACATTGTATTGTATTTTTAACGGCAATATTTATTGTATATTATCGTTTCGAATTAACGGTACGTTCCTATACATATTTTACACTAATGAGTACTATACATGTCTACTATCAGGCTGCAAGACAGTGAAATGTGGAGCACAGGGACCCATAGATGGCTCTCATTAAAAAGTCGAGTCAACACTTACTGACATAAGCGGGTGTGAGAGTCATGTGATGTTTGAGTTTGTGTGAGATAGCGGACAATACATAACTTACGCAAATAATTCTTACACTATTAAATTGCTAATTAACAACAATTACATTAAATTTAATTATTGAATACTAAAAACATAATGCCTTAATAGTAGATTATAAACTTATCTCAAATGAGTTTCAATTCATTAATCAATAAAGTAAAACAAAACCCATATTTTCTTATTTAAATAAGAAAATAGGGGTTATATAATAATAGTGTTATTTATGGTTAAATGCCAACATCAATACCATAACATAAAAACTCCTTTACCAGTCACGCATTGCATGTTTTTTATATCTACAGCCATGTATAGGTATATTATATACATTAGGTATTAATTTATTTTTAACTAACTTTCAAACATATGCATAATAGCGTAAATGTATTGTATTTGTTTCATAACTCACATTAGATTAGTTCATTGCAATCTACAGACATGCATAGATATATTATACTCATTAGATTTTAGTTTATTTTTCAATAACAATCAATCATATAAAACATAACGTACGTGTATTGTATTTGTTTCATAGCTCACATTGCTTTAAATATTTACAATCTATAGACATGCATAGATATATTATACAAATTAGAAAATAGTTTATTTTCATTACCTGTAAAACATATGAAACATAACGTAAGTGTATTGTATTTGTTTTAAAGCTCACATTGCATTGGTTCATTACAATCTACAGACATGCATAGATATATTATACTACTATTACTCGCCAACTCTTAAACATATGCCAACAACATATGACAATTAAATTAATTAAACATTAGATACTAATTTCTCTTTGTTGACCTCATACAATGTGTTATTTAACTCTTTAATTTTAAAAATAAATAATGTTAATTAAAACCCCCAATTTCTTATTTAAATAAGAAAATGGGGGTTATGTTTTCAATACATAATTTTGGTTAAAACTTAATACCACAATCAGTACATCTACATTACTCCTCTACTCCAACACTCAATACAAATCCAATACACAAACAATCAGTGCATAGCGGCGGCAGCACAGGAGTTGGCCGTATATCAGGCATCTATAGTATCGAGCAAACTATTTATTTTTGCCTTTACTCAATGGAGTCACGTGTGGCTGCCGTTGCGCATTGGATCCTCCAAGTATTAGTGAAGCGAAAGGCGCGTTATGCATAACTGTATGCCCACGTCTGCATACAGATTCGCAAAGTTTATACAGTGAAGTGGAGAGGTAGTGCTTGGAAGAGATATGACACTGCACTCACTG